GTCAATTTATATAATCTTGAGAAATTTGACCAAATCTTAGAAACTCAAACATTCTCTAGAATYCTTCTGTTTGTCTTCCTAACAGTGGAGAATTTTAGTCTATGCAGTTCATACCCCCCAAGCTTCAAGAATAAAAGACTACTTGTCTCTCACAWTTTACAGAGCCAGTAAATGGCATGCATAGCCTTTGTGAATGTAGATTCATTAATTGGGTGAAACAAAAAGAATGCTGTATACAGAAAAGTAACAACTGGGTTCTGTATTCCCCAGCCCTTGCRAGTATCACAGAGGAAGTGATTTTACTTTGCTTTGGGGATAATTTGTCTAAGATTGTTCACAAAATCCATCCAATACATTCCTGAATATCATTGAAAAAAGCATATATTTTGACATTCAAATAAAATTTTTCAGTGTCAGTGATGAGACAGAGTATTTTGTAAAAAAAAAATAATAATAACTATGTACTATGAAATCATGAAAAATTACCTATTGATGCACTCATTTTTCCAATAAACTTTTTCAATTAGTATATTTCTATGAACATTTTATAATGCTAAATATAGAGGCAAAACAAATACAAATAAGATGTGGTCTTATATAATAGTGCAACACCTTGGAGTAAAATCTATGAGTCAAAAGATAAACAACAAATTAAGAAAAATTATTTCTGGGGCATCACTAGAGTTTGGATCTGAAATACCGGCTAAAGGCCCATATGTTAAAGTCTTGGTCYCCAGGGTGGTGCTACTTGGAGAYGGTAGAACCTTTAAAAGGTGGGGCCTAGTGGGAGGTCTTCAAGTCACTGGGTATGTGAACTCAAAGGGATTAGGTACCCCAGGCTCTTCCTCTTTCTCTTTAACTTCTTAGCCATTAGACAAGTTCTACCACTCATTTCTCCCRTAATGTGCTGCCTCACTAAAGGACCAACACAACAGGGCCCATCAATCATAGACTGGAATCTGTAAAACTGTCAGCCAAAATCAACTTTATCTCTTCATAAGTTGATTTTTTTCAAGTATTTGTTATAGTGACAAAAAGCAGACTACTGAAGACCTATAGGACTATCAAGGCTGATTTTCATAAGATATAAAACCTTTTTGTTAAACAATAAGAAAAAGTTATAGAATGAAATAAAAATGGCAATGGTTTGAACAAACAGTTCACTGAAAACAAAATACGTATTTGAAAAATGATATTCTCAATCTCACTCATCATGAAAAACTAAAAGTTTATAAACAAGACCTCAAACCCCTGGTCCATAAGATTAACAAAAACATTAATTTTCCTTCCACTTCCCTGAGTTGGCAAAAAAGAGGGMAACAGGCACTTTCGTACCTTACTCATGGAATTAGAAAATGCTCCCAGTTTGAGTGAATTGGGGGGAGTCATCCAGGTAAGAAAGGGCAACACATAAAATAAGACAGGAGCATATCTAAACATAAAAGTGTTATGGGCCAGGCTATATGGGCAATGACCAAACAGACTCCATTTTACCCTGAGACTCCATATCATGTAAGAAATGTTTCTCCTTGGGAAAGCCCCACCTCTTTATCCATTAATAGTTACCTAGCATAACATACTTGGCAACACAAAATAGCAGTTCTTATACACTGTAAAACTGTTTTCTTTGGTTTCCATTTTTCTTGGGCAATGTACCTTGTCAGAGATTGATTGTCTAGATGTTAGTAACCATTCTCTAATTTGTACTGAACTAGGGTCATTTTAACCCACTTCTCTTCTGCTTGCTTGCTGCTATGTCAACCTGGAAAGTCCCATGGGAAATACCAAGGTACCCATTGCATTATCTCACTAAATGCCCAATTCAGTTTCTGTACCTGTTTGTTTGCAGCTACRTCAACCCAGATGTGGTTTTTGCCTGTAAATATCCTAAAATGTTCAGGCTCTGGGCCATTCCTTGCAGAGACAGTTATGGGTCCTGTAAGGGACAGTCACCAGCTGGCAGGCTAAATAAAGACTGGGACTTGGTGTGTTTTCTGAGTGACCTGCCCCACAACAAAAGAAGATGGAGGTAAGAGATATCAAGATTTTGGTCACCAAATAGATGAAGGGGTATCACAGGACTACCTATATGATTCCAAATTTTTTGACTTGGAAAATTCAATGATGAAGTTATTATTCCCCCATGAAATGAACAAAGGGCAGCATTGCTTGGGAGCTTGATTCTTGTTTTGTTTTAGTTTTTCTTTTAATTTTTTTTACTGGTGCATTATAATTACACATAATAGTAGGATTCATTTTTACATATTCATGCATGCACAAGGGAGTTCKATTCTTAAGCCAAAGTTCTACCACTACTGCACATTACCTGTGTAACCCTGATCAGATTACCTATTTCTTTTTTGCCTCAGGTTCTACAACTTTATAATATTAACAATGATAGTACTAATATCATAGGGTGGATAGAAGGATCATATATGTTATCATTTTAGTGTTTAGAATCTAAGTGCCTACGAGAGTGCCTGGCACATAGCAAACGTTCTATGAATATTAGATTATTAATAGTATTATTTCAAGAGATTTGAAATATTTTTCTTTGTTAAAAATTCATCATAGTGATTTCACATGCCCATATCTATCCATGAGATTACCTGGAATTTATTCCTGCACAGTCCAGGTAAACACCCATCTTGTGAAAATAGGTCTCTTCCTTCATGTTCCATCATAAGCCTTTGAGGCAGGAAGCACTGTTGCTCCCTTAAGCAACTCTCCACCTCAAATGTTATATTTAGAATGTCTTAAATACTAAATGGGCATCACCAATCCTATATTCTCCCTCTTGCTTTCCCTATTCTATCTATGAGAGCCCTATGATCCTACTCTAATTCCTCTTCCTTCACTAGCTATTTGATGGCAAAGTATTCTTCCCCTTTTGACCTCAGGACAATTAAAACTTATATTCAGCCAATCATTCTTAAATGGAGCTATCATTTGATTCATATATTATCTTTTCCCAACTAAATACTTTTTTAAAAACCCTGGAGTGTGGTAGAGAGAATAATCAYCATATTTGACTTTGGTTAATGTTCTACACCCCTGGCCCTTATTATGCATAGTAAACATTGCATAAATATATTTTATTGGTTGAGTAATAATTTCCTCTGATAGAAAGGAGAATTATGAAGGCAGTAGGATAAATTTAATTGAGGGTCCCAGGATAAAAACACAGGTCATTAAAGTATTTCAGCCAGAGTTYGCTATCTATTCATTATAGGTTAGTTCTTATGTTCATCAGTTTCAAACTTCAAGGCCTTTACTTTCCATATACTTTGCTACTTGATTCATAGACTTCTTCTCCTTTATACCTCCAGTCATCATTTTCAGGAACTGTAACATTTATGCTAACTTCTTCCCCAAATATCTGACCTCAAAGTCAGTTTGTTTACCTACTTAACCCTCAGTCTCTTCATTTGTACCACATTTTATTGTTATTATATTTTATCATACCAATTTGTTTCATTAACCCAAGGATAATTTAGTAATCATTATGCAATGAAGGTGAATACATAATCTAGAGTTAGCTAGACTTGCTGAGATCTTATTTAGGAAATTCCTGGTTATATAACACAAAACAAGTTAGGTAACTACTGAAAGGTATTTCTCTGTGGCATTTCTGCTTCAGATTCCTCATCACTGACACAAACACGTTATATGAAACATTCACCACAACCATTCTGCATCATCCCCCATGGAACTAGAAGGGCAAGGAAGCATAAGGCTCATACCACTCACTGTGTCATGTGTAATAAAGTCATGCGTTTCCAACCCAGGATACSGTCTATTAAGCTGTGGTAGGCTATGGTAGGCTGTTAACCTGCAAACCAAGTAAAACCCCACTCTTCATAGTTCTTGATAATAACRTATGCCTCAGTTTCCCTACATGTAAAAAGGAGAGAAGATACTAGATCACCGAGCTAATATGTTAATAAAATAGAAAAACATGAGATGATTCATGTGAAATATTTAAAACCAGTCTAAGCCTCACACCTGGTCTCCAATTGCTCTTCAAGGGGGAAGTATTTGGTGACCACTGGCTGCCTCCTCACCTGCTTCCCAGCTCACTTCTCATGGGTCACTCTGCAACACTGACTCCAGAGGTCCTTCTCTCTTTCATCAAAGTTCCTATTTCCTAGACTCTGCACTATGCTAGCTTTCTCCTTAAGTTTTGGCCCTCTGTATCCCTTCCTTTTACACACACACACACACACACACACTGAACTATCAGAAGGAGAATGTTTTGCAAATGTCCTACAGTCCTAAATTTCCAGGGATACTCATTAACAGAACAACAACAGAAAAACCAGTTTTTAAAAACTGGGAGAAGGGAAAGACAGTAATCAAAATGAGGGAGTAGAGAGAGAGTCATGAAATCTTCATTGAAACAGAGAATAGTTACAAGTAACATATTATATGTGAAGAGTCACCCAGTTACATAGATGGTCAACATTTATCATTTTCCAATGTCAAATATTAATAAAATATTTTCAAAAAATAATACTGAAAAGAAAATAAAGGAATTGGTGGTTGTAAGCTAGATGGCTGCTGAAACACAGTGTGGGATGATGGAAGGCCGATAAACTGATACCACCAACAGGTCCCAGGGAATCCCAGCTCTAGCTTTCTGTACTTTCGAGAACTTGGATGAGGTAATGAATGGCACCAAACATCAGTTTACTCACCTTCCAAATGGATAAGCCTACTCCCTATAGTCTTATAAATTGTAGCTATGATGAGCACGACTATTGCAGGATGATCAGTAAATTGCCTCTTCACAAACTCATAAAAAGACCAAGGCACATTTATGATTATGTCCCAAAAGAATGTAAGATTTCATAATGGGCATACTACACTCGCCAAATACAGCATTATAGAACTTAAGCTCTGGCTTCATAAAAACTCTAGGCACTGAAAATTTCTTAGGGTCAGGCTTATATAACTAAGTGTCAGTCTTAGATAACCAATTGCTGGCTTGATAAACTTACCTGTAGCAAAAAATCAAAGAGCGCCATCTTAGACCACTCATGGTGATGGATTTCAGTGCAGCCCCATTCAGGTTTGGGTACCCGRCCATTCAGCCAGCATTTCTGTTTCAGCAACTGCTGATAAGTTCCCCAGGTGAGCTTGACTGAAGAATGGGTATCATTACTTGCTGGAGATAAAGATGAGTCCCAGAGAGTGATCGGACATGGACTGCCATCTGTGGAATCAGATGGACAAATACACTTTCAGCATTCTGTTATCAACTCTGTGGCTGCCCTTGGGGCAGGATATTCCCTCACACTGCCTCACTCTCTCACCTGTCCAATGCAAGAGATTGATTCATCCTATTTTATGGTCCCTTGGTCTTCTAAAATTTCAATATTTTTTATACCGCAATGATGCTTCCTGATACAAAACTTACAAAGTGAAAAATTATTGTTAGACAATAAAAAWTTTTTTTTAAACAAGAGATTTTATAGATGTGGCAGGAATAGGTCACTAACCACCAATAACAACGTCCTCTGGCTAATGTGGTTTTATTCCACATCTAAAAGCAGCCACCACAGAAAAGGAAAGAATCCAGACATTTATAATTGTCTATTCAATGTCTGAGTGGAGCTGTTCTCTATTTGTAATAACAACTGTCTGATTTTTCTGAGGCCACATTATGATGTCAGGAAGAAAAAGAATTTTTAGAAGTCAAAAATTTCCAAGTGAAATTGTATGGTCCACACCAATCACTATAATCTCCAGAAAAGGAAAAAAAAAAAAAGAAGGAAGAACTTTATTTATTTATTTTTTCTTTTCTGATAGAAATAGTGTAAGCCCGATGGTGCTCTGGGTAATGGATCATTTATCCACACATAATCTCATAAAGTATATTTTTTAAATGTCATTTTTTTCATGTGTATACACACAGATGATTTTTTCTCAAATGTGTCAAATTGTGTCAGGCTCACTCATTCCTCATAGAAGAGATGCAATCTCTTTCAAGGCTAAACTGTATAAAGAATGATAAGCCCCAGTTAAGTCATCATAAACAAGAAAGACCATGATGGGGCACACYGAACAACACTTCAGTCTTAAAACAATAACATCATTCCCAAGGCCCCATTTCTGCTAAATAAAGTCACAAAGAGATGGAGTTGAACAGCTCTGCTTATAACTCAAAAATCAGTATGATGCTCTTGGAAGAAAAAAAAAACTGAGTTACAAAGAACTGAAAAAGCATACTTAACAGGTCTGAACAACGGAGGTGTCTGAAATTATGGCTGGAATGTCCAGACATGCCCCAGGAATTTTTAAAAGCCCTTTTAAATAGCCTCAGATGTTCTCAACCTATAACTTCATTYATTGTTTGCTAGAAACTTTTAATTCGCCACCTTTTGGCCTTATTCTGACATTCTTATCTACAAGAAACAGTCTTGTTCACTAACCATTCTTGCATTAGGGGCCATACTACCCTCCATAATTTTAATTGCATTCACTTAATCGTTCTAATCACCTGCATTCCAGCTTTATTTAAAAGGAAGTTTGCTCTCCCTTCACTTTGCAATTGAGGCCAGGGCATGTGAAACATCCCTTGAATTGCACAAAATATGCCAACAGTCATTGACACACAATTAAGAGAAAACAGAGAAAGAAACATGAGCCATCAATAGGGAATTTCACTTATAAGATTCTTTTTCTCCTTTCTATGTCTTTGTACCTTATTAAGTGATTCAGAGCTTCTGGGACCTAATTGTTTTCTTATATGAAATCATGTTAAATACGTGGACCTCAAATACCRTGCCAGTGAAAAGGGAGAAAGAATAAATTCCAGGTGAAATCAGCCCAGCGTGTGGTTGCAGACAGGTCTGGATCACTGTAACTAAATATGAATAGAAAACACAACTCAGCTTTCCAAGACTTGTGCTTGGGATGTCTGAAGATGAGAACCAGTGAGTGGGGGTGGGGGCTGGGACACAGTGGTAGAGCCCTGCCCCCTCAACTCCATCTCTGTGACTTTATTTGGCTAAAACAGGGCCTTGGGAATGACATTACTGGTTTGAAGCCTAAAGTATTTATTCAGTGTGCCCCATGATGGTCTTTCTTGTTTRTGATGACTTCAATAAGGTTTCTCATTCTTTATACAGTTTAGCAATGAAAAAAAAATGTTTCTCTAACCCTACTGTGATCCCCAGCACTGATAGATAAATAAATAATCACCAAGGAGTTCCATCAGTGTCTTTCCACCAAAGTTATACTCAAAAAGTGCTTTCTATTCTAGGGGCTAGGAAGTACTCAAAAGGAATTGAAACCCAATACTGAACTTCAACAACACAGATCAATACACAGGACAGACAGGACCACAGGGTTTCCTTAGCAATTCACACAAGACCCTCAGCTGAACAGGAAATGCTCTGCATAAACAGTTTAAGCCTTGGCTCTTTCTCCCTTTAGAAATATCCAGTTTTTATTGTAAAAGTAACTAAACATAAATACCCTCATTTTAGGAAATGTGAAAAAACATAAAAATGTACAGCTAAGAAAACCAAAACCATMTACAACCCAGTAATTGGTTCTATTATGTGTATATTTACCTCCAGTATTTTCCTATCTCTTTTTCACCTCAATATGTAAAAAGCTTTTAGAAATTTAAGAAAAAAGAATATCTTATGATTGGAGCTCAAATTCTGGAAACCAACAGACTTTTTGAATTATGGTTACTTAGATTTGTCACATCAGATGAGTTATATAATCCCTCTAACCCTTGCTCCCTTCTTCTGTAAAATGGGGCTGATAACTGACTTGTTGAAATTAAATGAGTTCATGCATTTAAAATTCTCTCCTCTAACTWTTTTTTTCATTTCTTCATGGTGGAAACATTCAGAATTCTTTTTTTCTAACTTGTTGAAGTATATWATTGTTACCTATAGTCAACCAGCTGTRCAATGGCAGATATGATAGATACATTTTACCTGGTTTGAACATTTTGTCATGTACAAATGTATCAAAACACTACATGGTTATTATTAATATGTATAATTTTTATGTTTTATGTATCAAATAAGAAGAAAAACATAAAAAAGAATACATAAAGCTTTCAACCTGGTACCTAACATAAATGCATCCCCAGAAATATTCTGTGGTGATTATTACCACATACATACATTATAYAGTCACATAATGCATCAGTCTTCAACTGATCTTTATTGCTTCTTGAGCATTTTCTCCATCAGTGTTCTAGAACCCGAATTTAAATGCATAAATAAGATAAATGTCAATACRTTTTTGCTTTCATGRAGTGTACATTTCTACCAAGGAAAAGAAACAAAATATATGCAAAGAAAAAATACCATTTGGAATTATAAAATTTTATTATGAAYACTGAAACTGAAAGTTCATATGGTTTTCAAGTGTCATAGTCATGTTACTTTCTTGATATGTTTCAATCATTTAAAATTACAGAAACCACTCTTAATTCATAAAATAAAAATACGACCTAGGCCATCTTTAGCCTACATTCCCTGCTAGACATGAGTTTACTATGGTTCCTTTACCATTTCTCTACTTTAGAACAGCAAATTTCTTTTTGGGGGGAAAAGTGGGTGCTGGAGATCAAACCCAGGGCCTTATGCACATTGGCAAGCATTCTATTTCTAAGCTACACACCCAGCCCTCATTAGATTTCTTTGGGTGGTACAGTTTTTGTACTAGCAATTAAAAATTGTTCTCAAACTGCCAAAGCTGATGTTCAACTGAAAGAATAATTGCTTTTCAATTAATATCCTGTGGTTTTTCTCTATAACCATCCATGTCCCCTCAGCAAAATATTTTGAATGCTGACRACCACATAAAGACATTCTTTCCTGGCCTGGCAGGAATCCGTGCACCTCAGGAAAGGGGATTTCCAAAGCATATGAAGAACGTGGGGAGAACTGCAATGTGCAGACTTTTGAATYCAAGATGATGAGGTTCTTTTCCACATTCATTCCCAGGTCTTCTTGCTATGTGTGAGAGTGTGTGGCCCTTGCAGGGAATAGTAGTMGTCAGAATGGCTCAGGATCTCAGAGAAGTACTCACTACTGTGAGGAGAACTCCACTTTATATGAAATATGGCTTTTAAAAKAATTAAATGAACTTTGATAGATTTAAACTGATGACAGAAAAATCACCTCTGAAAACAGGTAWCTGGTTAAAGCAACTTGCCATGAAGTGTTTGGGGGATGAGGACCATTCATCTCTTCACATTCGGGTTTGTCAAAATGATGCAGTACTGTACTCTCTGGAGAAATTTTAACAGTGAAGAGATAAAATTCTAACTGTCAGTTTGGTGAGAAAGCAGGTTTTAAAAGATACGTGAGTGTTCATGTGAATTAAAGGTTACACAGCTGTCTTATAAAATGAGMCTTGCCAGTAAAACTTTTATCCRATATCTGAATATTTCCCTTGAATTYTGRTGTTCTCTCAAGTCATGTTYCTATTCAAAAGCACAAAGAAGACATCCTTCTGAAAAGATKAACATGAAAATTAACCAAGAATAAATGCTTTGCACAATCTTCTTTGTCTAGATTTATTAAATGCCCTTCACTTTGAACATTGGCTGACTGGTTTCGTTGCACTATAGGTGAATGCTAAGCATGTTGGGCAGAGGGCTAAATGTCTATCAGTATTTGTTACTTTGCAAAAATAGGTAAAAATTTACTGAGCTCTGAAATCAAAAGTCCTTTTTATTGTATGGACCAATTTCCAAGACTTCCCCTGACCAAGATGTAAAGGAAGTGAYGTTCCAGCTCAGATGGTTCACCTTCTCTGAAAACAACTTTCTAAAACTCATTAAAGAAAACAAAGAYTAGACAAAATGAGGAGCATCTTTGCTATAGGAAACAAATTCTGTTGGGCTCCATCACAACTATCAACAATGCTTTTAGGGACATTTTTCATGCTACAGGTCTCCTTTTGGAAAAGGCAATTATTAACATTGAATCAACCCTCACGATACTGTGGCAGGCATCTAAGTGTTAAGGGATCCCTTAAGGGATCAGCTCTCCTTTTCTACTATGTTTATTATATTATGGTTTGAATATGTTGTGTCCCCCAAAAGCTCATTTTTGAAACAATGCAAGAAATTTCAGAGGTAAAAATGATTAGATTACAATAGCTRTAMCCTCATCAGTAGATTAATCCACTGACATGGATTAACCAGATGATAACTGCAGACAAGAAGGGCATGTC